TTACCAATTCTGCTTTTATTGTTTAGACAATAAATCAAAATTGTTATCATGACTAGAAGTTTATCACAATACAATAAATGTTCACCCCAAGTTGTTAAACATTTGCAAACCTCTTTTTTCCCCTATGTCAGCCCCTTTTTGCTTATACGTTGGGCCGACTCTACAGAGATGAAAGCACTCCTTTATATCACATCATTTGGTCCACGGGAGCAATAAAAACCTGGTTCTTCATCTAGCTTTGTTTGTCCAAGTGTTATTTGTTTTAAGCCTTATAAATAATCACCTAATCAATTCCTCTGTAGGTTCAGACGATGTGTTCAGCTTTTCCAGATAAAAAAAATACATATTTTCCTTACTTATATAGTGTTTCTCCTTCTCATTCCTATATTGAATGGTTGCTTTGAGGAATGTGCTTCGTTGTCAGGAGATATTTAAGCCCCAGACAACAGGAAAAGCTCTACCTTTCTTATACCCCATCCAAAATTCTTAGGTTATCTGGAGCTATTCTCTGCATTTCTGCTGCTATAGGCTTACACTGCTGTAGGACACAGGGACCCCTTTTCATCAATCTATCTCTATTTTCCCACTCTTCAGTATTTTTTAGTTCAATCTCTAACGTTATGTCCTCTCTGTTATTTCTCATCATAATAGCTTCATCTGGTCTGTTCTTGTTTGGCTGTGCTGACATCCTGGAAAGAAATATCAGCTGTGCTGCTGCCATCAACACCTGTGTTTATAGATGTTGGAGCTTGGCCTGTTTTTCAGTGTAGTCCTGTTTCTCTGACTGTGACTAACTTGATGTTTTCTCTTTCATCCTCTGACAAGGGAGGTGGCTTGGGTCCTGTCTGCGTGGCTGTGTGTTGCCTGGATGGGGCTGCCTGTGGAGCTGGTTTACACTTACGTTTTTTATCTCTGCTGCTTTTTGTATCTCTGCTGCTTTCTCCTTGAACCCCAGTCGGCCTCGGCAGACGGCCGCTCACACTGAGCCTGATTCTGCTAAAGGATTTCTTCTTCAAAAGGGATTTTTCCTCTCCACTGTAGTTACAAGCATGCTTGGTGTTAGGGATTGCATTTGAGTCAAGGAGTCGATGCAATTAAGTGATTTTCCTTAGATAGAAAACTTTGAATCAGTCTGACAGTTTGATCTGGTTAAAATGTCTCTGTTAAGTGCTTTGAGATAGCATGTGTTGTGAATCGGAGCTATATAAATAGACTGAATTGAACTGAGTTGAATTGAAAGTGTTGTTAATTAGAGGTTTAAAATTCAACACAATTCATTTTATTTCTATAGCACCAATTCACAACACATGTCATCACAAGGCATTTTACAGTTCACCAGATCATACAGTTAAATTGATTCAAATTTTTCTAACTAAGGAAAACCAGTTAAATGCATCGGCTCATGGTCTCGAAAGGGAATCCCTCACACCAAGCATGCTTGTAGTGACAGTGGAGAGGAAAAACTCCCTTTTAACACGGAGAAACCTCCAGCAGAACCAGGCTCAGTGTGAGCGGCCATCTGCAGAGGCCGACTGGGGTTCAAGGAGACAGAAGCAGAGATAAAAAGGCAGCTGCAAAAGGCGGCCCCGTCCAGGAAACATACAGCCAGGTAGATCAGCCCTGAGCCAGCTCCCATGTCAGAGGATGAAGCATCCACCCAGTCACAGTCAGAGAAACAGGACTACACTGGAAAACAGGCCGATCTCCAACATCTAGCATCACAGAGAAACAGGAACAGATGAGGCGAAGCTACTATGAGAAAAAGCAGAGAGAGCAGAACGCTAGAGATTGAACTAACAGATTCTGCAGAGTGGGAGAATAGAGATAGAATAAAAAAATAAAATGAAACAGAATGATCAAAAGGGGGAACACCTTGACATTTTTTTTAAAACATGAAATAAAGAAAAATATTTGTAATTTAAAGGAATTATTGCAGGAACCAAACATTTATCTCATTGGACAAATGTACTTACATTAAAAGTAACCCTTTTCTCTACATTTAATGAAATTATTGATGCTATTTGCCAACAGTTTAAATAATTGTGCTTAAATATTATGCCCAGCCTTACCTTTTTTGTATAATGGCCATCATATTTATTTATCTTAAAGGGCATATATGGATTTCCAGGTAATAAATAAAACGTTTACGTTCTGCTCGTAAGTAGAATAACAAATGTAATACTCACTGAGGCCAACCTTCAAACGTCGATACAGTGAACAAAGCTAACATTCCCATCAGCACGTTGTCAAAGTTGAAGTCACTGTTTTGCCAGATCCTCTCTCTGACCATGGGATGGTTCATATCTCCGTCTTTATAGACCACAAACGTTCCCCTGAAATCAGACAAATCACATTTTAGTATTCAAATTAATCTACTTTTACGAAGTGCTCCAGTATTTTACAGCGTAATAAGGAAAGAACACTTACTTGCACTCGTCTGGAGTGTGTTTGGCTTCATCAGTGCAGCTGTAAAATCTCCCCTGTAAACATCCAAACCAGAGGAGGAGTCCCATCAAGAGCCATGCATTCATGAAAAAAAAAGACTGATAGGAGTGAGAGAGAACACACCTTGAAAAGCTGAACTCCAATACAAGCAAACATGAACTGAAGGAGAGTCGTGACGATCAAGATGTTGCCGATGGTGCGAATCGCCACGAAGACGCACTGCACCACATTCTGTGAAGATACACACAAAACAAACCTTTTTGAATAGTAACAGGTGATAAATACAGACCAGAAATTCAGCTTTAAAAAAGAAATATCTACATTCTTTTTTAAATAAAAAGTATGTTATATGAATTAATTTGTATTAATATTCTGCTTTAAAGGGAAAACTCTTCATCGTGTTCTGCAGATTAGCTTGTTAATCCGGGTTATTATTTTAGATATGCTAAGTGAGTGGTCTAATTTGAAGCAATGATTGTTTACCATCCAGATTTATTCACTTTAGAGTCATACCTTTGTAGAAAATCCAGATTAGATCCACTTTAAGATTTGTAGTTACTAATAATGTGTACATTTTTTACAAACTGCAAAGATTGAAGTGGAAATTTTGAACTGTATCATATAGATTTACAGTAAGTGTTTTTTTTCTATAAATGTGGATGATTTCTGCCGGTGCATCGGACCACTGAAGCACAGTCCGTTCCTGTCCTTAGCCTAAGTAAATGGTTCTAACATTGTATTTGGTTCAGCAGACACAGCACAGGGAATGTGGTTGTGTGAGGAGGCCTGTGGAGCTGTGGTCCAAACCACAAACTGTGTTTAATGGACCTCCAACAACCATCTGACCAAGTTTTAGGTCACAGTCTTCAAGACTGAACAATCCCTGCTGCATATGTACATCTTTCTACTGCAATTTTTTCTTCCACTTAACTTTCTGTCAGTATACTGTTGTCAGAAAATTTTATTTTTGTTCTTTCCTTCTCAGTATATTGATGTATGCTATGTACTCTCTAAAAAATTTTTTTTCTCAGCTAGTTTGTCTCACTTGCAAGGCCACAAATGTCTGAGTGGAAGATGGTTATAGACAAGCCATACCTTTTTTCCCATAACAAAACCACATACTTTTTTAGGTAACCGTTTAACCAAAGTGTCTGTTATTGTTTTGACTCTGCCTTAAAAGTAAGGGAACAACTTTGTCTAAGGTTAGAACTTGGCAGACCATCATGCTGTGAATGTGAAAGTATTGTTCTCCTTTACTTTGCAAAGTAAATAAAGTGCCGACTGAGTAAATCCATCGATCTCCTTTATTTAACTGGACTAAACAGTTCAAAGCTTTTTTCACACAACAATACTTTCATAAACCTTAGTTTCAGTGACTATCTTCAGTGACTATCGTCTATCTAAGTGTCAAAAAATGAAAAAATAATAATCTTATATAGGATGAATTATATGTAAAATTATACAAGATTCTTGTTTTTTGAGAAGCAGAATTTGGACTTTTTGTAGTTAGTATTAAAGTCGTAGGGAAGCGGCTGTTCCAACCGTTGCATTTCCCAATTATCCCGAGTGGTGCCCGACTTTACATGAGTTTATAAAGTGAATGTGATTAGTCGTTTATGAAGGGGGCGGGATTGTTGTGGCAGAAGGTTCGCAAGCAAGTTTGGTTGTGGCCGGTTGATTCATATTTCAACCGTTGCGTATATGAGCTTCAACATATGAATCAAGATGCTATGACAGAAAAAATTTGACTGACAGACGACTGTTGATAAATGATTGGCTGAATTTAGGTGTACAAGCTGACGTATAACTAACTGGTCCAAATAAGATAACGGAAAAAACCCCACAGATTTTAAGAAAGGATTTTTTTTTTTATATAGAAATTTTCTAAATTTTAGGAGTAAATTTATATACATGTTTAAGCCAGAATGATTCTACATTTAAGTAGGATTTCCCTATGACTTTAAATATCAAAATGAACTTCAGTAAACACTTGAAATAAATCACTTTGTATGATTAAATTTTATACATTTAAAAAAAGCTTTTAAACATACCTTTAATTTAAAGGCACTGTATGCATGAGTATGAGTGCTTCCTTAAATCTAAAAACTAAAAGTAGGCACATATAGTTGTTAACCATAAATACATTTTTTACCAAAAATTCTCTCTAATCTAAATTTTTATTTGTTGAATTGTGTACAAATATGTTATTCTCCATATAATATCTCTTTGGGTACATCTCCATAATTACTTTTTTTCTGAGATTCGTCTATCAATGGATCGCTGATGAAGATTTAAGGTGAAATATAGATTTTTAGTATAAGAGTTATAAGAAAAAAAAGAAAGAAGGATCCAAGGGAAGGAGGATATGAAGGAAGCAGAGGTTTTTACCTTCAGTCCCTTGGCTCTGTTGATGGCTCGGAGAGGCCTGAGCACTCGGAGAACTCGGAGAATCTTTACCACTGAGATCGCACTTGAACTGAAAAAAGCAAAGCAAAGGATTTAGAAGAATATCCAACTAACAAACAAAAAGAGGAGAAAACAATATGGAAAATGCATTCATATGTTTAAAACTAAAGTAAACCTAATATTTATTTTCCTCTTTCTATCTACTTACTGTAAGAAGAAAGACGTGAGCGACACACTGACAACCAGCAGGTCGAGGAGGTTGAAGGCGTTCCTGCAGAAGGAGCCGGTGTGAAGAAAAGCTCCATAAACTGTCATCTATACAAGAAGAAGAAACAAGGTGAGTAAACATCTGCTGTGATTTATTCAGCTTCATTCTATCAACCGTTACCTTTAGGACAATCTCCACGGTGAAAACCGAAGTGAAGACATAATCTGCGTATCCCAGCACCTGGCGATGACAGAAGTTAAACCCAGAATTTAGTTTCAGCACCTTGGAGAGAGGATTAGAAGCAGAGGAGCGTGGAGTTAAAGTGGCAGCCTGTCTGAGGAAGCCTTACGATGTTCCTGAATGAGTGCGATTTGATGGGATCCTCAGCAGCCAGCGAGATGCTGCTGAGGATGATGAAGATGAGGATGAAGTTGGTGAAGTAGTGGTGGTGAATGAGGTTGTGGCAGGCGACACGTAAACTGAAGAATAAAGCGAATGAGAGGGAGTCATGCATGCTGCATCCGTGTTTGGCTTTTGCTAAAATATGAATCCCAATGTGAATACCAGTTTTTCTTTCCCAGAAGGAAGAAGGAGCTTCCATCGGGTATCGGCACAATCTTCTCTTTAGGGCCGGAGAACTCTGGCTTTAATGGAGCAACACCTGCAATAAAGAACAAATTAATGAGCTGCTTTGAAATCTCTCAATCAGCTGATGGCTGATCGCCTCTGCAAGGCGGGACGTCAGTAATACTCACCCTCCAGACCCTCAATGACTCTCAGCTCCTCATTTTCCTGCCAATCATCCTCTTCGTTCTAAAGCAAAATAAAAGGTCAGATTTATTCTAACCTAAATACAGCATGAAACATATTTCATCGCAGTGCAAACTCAAATACAAAGTTAAACCTTGTTTATTTAGCCAAGAAGAAAAAAAAAACGCTAATGTTTTTATTTAGCATCCTGCACGATAATGTAACAAAAATGACTTTTTTCTATTCTCTATTCTAGAGAACATGCCATTTAACTGGGAGCGATCTGTGACGGCTTTCATTAGTCAGTTATCGTATAAGAATGCAGCTGTGATAATCCAGGCTGGACAAGCGCACACAAAGCTCTATGTTACGGTTCACGCTGAACTAAAAATCCTTGGTTATGAGCTGGAATCAGCTTTCTGGGTAACTTCTAACCCGTCCCAACAAACATCAGGCTGGGTAATATTTTCAGGGTAAAGTGTCTACCCGACAAAATTACATCTCCATGTCATTTCTACCACGGTTTTAGAAAGTAATAGTATGTATATTATTAAACAATGTGAGGTGGTATGAAACAGAGGAGGAATATGTGGAAGAGGACGTCATAAAGACTGTAAAGCACGGTGAAGGATTTGTTATACTAAGGGTATGTGGGTTTTATTTAAAGAGAGATTGTGATGATCCTGGCAGTGGAGCTGATTCTGGTTCAGTCTCCACCTCTATTGCAATCATCTCTACTGGTTTCACCTGTCTCCATCTGCATATAAGCTCCGTCCTCATGAGTCTCCAGTGCCAGATAGTTTCAATCCAATTCCAGTGAGAACCTTCCAGCCTTATTTTTGAAAACCTGTCTGTTGCCTGCCTGCCTGTTATTGATCCTGTCCTGTCCTCTGATTTTTGAGCCTGTCTGTCCCCTGCTTGGATTTGTCCGCCTGCCTGAGACCAGCTTTGTCAGTCTGTCAGGATTCCGGAAAGATTACCTGTGCCTAAGACCCATTTCTGTCTGAAAGTTCATGAGCCTGTCTTCCCCCTCTATGTCCTATGATACTGGAGATCATATCTGGATCAGAAACTGAACAAACCTGCTGAAATCCCCTCTGCTTATCAGCTGGATGTCTGAATCTATATCTGGACATACTACCTGTTCCTGGCTGGTCCTCAGAGCCCGAACCTCGTGTGAAATCAGGTTAGTCCATCAGACAGTGTTTACTCTAACCTGCCAGAACCCGCCACTAACCTGCCCCTCTGTCTCCAGGTCATATCAGACAGCACACGGAAACTGAACGCCCGAGAGTCGGCTTCCCAATCACCTGTTTTCTCAATAAACTTCTTAAATTGCCACTGACCTGTTGTGGCGAATCTTGGGTCCGCATCCGGTTCATTACAGAGATACATAATTGATTCAACTAAACCAACAAGGGGATAGTTTCCCTGATACCACATCAGTCTAGGTCCATAACCAGCACCATGTTTACATCTAAAACCTGTTAGGGGAACTTGGGAGAAGAACGCATAAGAGACAATGAAGACCTCTGAAAAATTTATTAAATCATGGCAATAGGAAAGGTTTAAAGAGGCTTGAAATTTTAATTGTCTTTTTTCCCTCAAATTTTTTGTTTTTATTAATGTTGACTTCTGAATTTGAATTCTATTTTAACTTTTTTGGATATAAAAAATTGTTTTTTGTTTTTTTTCTAAATATGCTCATTTTCAGTTGTTTTTATTAGTTTCACTCATAGTTTTTACGTAATGTGACTTACATAGCAGGGGCAAGACTAAAAAAATATAAAAATAATAGAAATAAAATCCTAGATAAGGACAAATTTCTGCAGTAACACAAATAACCTGACTGCTGTTTCTTTCATCACCTGAGAAAACAGCTACTGGAAACTAGAGCCCACATTAATGCATTATGATAAAGAAACATTATCTCTTAAAACTCAGTTTTTATTTGTTATTAAACCTCATTACAGTTTAGTTAGTTTTCATTTTTTGGAAGGCATTGTTATTTTGTATTTCAGCTAACAAAAATGTTTTGTTTTTTTTTTATTGTAGTTTTCGTTTACCTAGGAAATAGGAGTAATCAAATAACCCTCTTTCTCTTCGCCCTTTGTGAAATATTATGGGAGGAAAAAAATAAAGAAAAGTCCTGTTGACCTGCTTTTTTTGATAAGAGATGATAATATGGGAGGATACAAACTGAAAATTTAGTTGAAAGCCTTTTACACATTTTGAAAATGGAGGATTCACACCAAACATGTATCCAGGAAAAAAAAGAAACACTCTACCCCTGCATCTTCATCCTCTTTCTCCTCGTCCTCATCCCACTCCTCTTCTTCTTCCTTTTTCTCCCTAAATAAAAAGGACAACAGGACAGTTTGGCTTGGATGAAGCCTTTTTAATGTGATTAAAGCACATCCACAGGAGAACAAAAAGGTTATCGACGTGTCTAACATGGACCATTACTACAGCTTACTCCACGTTTTTCTTTCCACCGCTCCCTGCCAAGTTATCCACAGCGATAGCCAAGAACACATTGAGCAGGATGTCTGATCCAGGTGTCAAGGAATTCGATTTATTTCCATCGTGGGACAAGATCACATTCACAAAAACTGGTATTCAAATGGGTTTAAGTGGAGAAAGGATACAGTTACCGCAAACAAAGAGGATGACGAAGTAAATGCAAACCACCATGTTAGGGAAGATCGGCCCTCCGTACGCCATTATGCCATCATACATCACAGCGTTCCAGTCCTCTCCAGTGAGAATCTATAACAGATTGGAGGAATGCCAGGACCTGTTTAGGCTAAAGGGACGGACGTGTACTGGGCATGACTGGGGACATGCAAGTCACCTGGAAACATGTCAACAGAGCCTGAGGGAAGGAGTCAAACGTGCTTCTCTTCATCTGAGTCTCGTCAAAGTTGAACTTCCCTCCAAACAGCTGCATCCCCAGCAAGGCGAAGATGATGAGGAAGAGGAAGAGCAGGAGCAGAAGGGAGCAGATAGCCTTCATGGAGTTAAGCAGTGAGGTGACCAGGTCGGAGAGAGCAGCCCAGTGTCTAAAGGTGGAGAGAAGGAGTGCACAGCTGTGAGAAACCTGAGTCTGAGCTGAACATCTGGATCTGGTACCACTCACCGGGTCATCTTAAAAATGCGGAGCAGTCGGATGCAGCGCAGCACAGAGATGCCGATAGGCGGGATGACGTCCATCTCTACAAGCAGCGTCTCTAGAATGCCGCCACACACCACGAAGCAGTCGAAGCGGTTGAACAAGGCCATGAAGTAGATCTGGAGGCCGAAGGCGTACATCTTCATCAGCATCTCCAAGGTGAAGAGCAGCAGCAGGATCTTGTTGGCTCGCTCTGAAGGAACCAAGAAGATGGACGATGACATCTTAATCATTTAAAGAAATGAAAGCTGGCAGAACAGAATTGATTGTTTTTCATTACCCTGCATTTCTGTGAGCCATTTGGGCTGTCCGTAGTGCTCCGAGGCGCTGGCCACCGTGTTGAGAAACACCAGCAGCAGCACCAGCCAGTAGAAGTTAGTGGTCTTCACTGCAACACGGCAGTTTTTTCTGAATGTATGGTTGAGCTGGCACAACTGGTCACTGAAGGTAAACACAGCTTTTTGACATTAGTGGAAAAAGATAAACAAGAGGTCCATCTATTTATCTTCATTTTAAACTAATCTCTACTAGGGCTGCAACTAACGATTATTTGGCTAATCTATTAATCTCTCGATTATTTTTTCACTAAATATTCGCATAACCAAAGATTCCTTAAAGAAGAGTTTTTACAAAATTAAACCAGGTGAACCTCAAACTTTTCCACTTGACAGTTCTGGATAAAGCATATTGACAAACCATTTTTTTTTTTTTATCTGAAATGCAAAACAGTTAGAGCAGTTTGCTCTGAGAAGGTTGCAATCACCCGGGTCAAATCCCACTGCCTCATCTCTGGTTTTCTTAGCAAGACCCTTAATCCCACACTGCTCCCCAGGCGCCGCACGATGGCAGCCCACTGCTCCCCAAAGGAGGGGTTGTTAAATGCAGAGGGTAAATTTCTCCACTGTGAGATCAATAAAGTTGAATTATTATTATTAAAGTCGTGTTTTACAGTCTCTATACTCCAGTTAACGATTAATCGATTACTAAATTAGTCCAAGCCCAAGTTGTGTCAAAAGTACACACATTTGTTACTTAAGTAGAAGTATAGATACTGCAGTTTTAAAAACACTCTCATAAAAGTTTCAACTAAGTATCAACTTGACCTCTTTACTCAAGTAAAAGTGAAAAAGTATGTGCTCCAAAAAGTACTTAAAGTATAAAAGTATACAGTAACCTTTAAAAAGAAGAGCCAGATGCCACTATATGAACTGAAATCTAATGTTTTTGACTATTTCGAAAAATCCTGCTCTGACCTTTCAGACATCTTGACATCTTTTTCTGAATCCAACATTGTAGCATGGCATAGACAATTCATGTTTGCAGTCTGAAGAACACCTGCTTGCTTCTGATGATTTCCTTTAGCTAACCAATGAGTGTTTGCATTATATGACTCATCCAATCACACTAGTTTTCACTAGATGTGGATGGAGCCAATGATCTGCATTGAATGGAGCACATGACGGGAAATAAATATTTATAAACATTAAACCAAAGCCAAAAATAACGAGTAACGTTTGTTTGAAAAATGTAAGGAATAGAAAGTACAGATACTTGTGTGAAAATGTAATGAGTAGAAGTCAGAAGTAGGTAGAAAAATAATTAATGGAGTAAAGTATAGATACCTAAAAAGTGTACTTAAGTACAAAGTGTTTACTTGACACTTCTGCCAATCCCTTATCTCCACCCATTATCTTAAAAATATCTGCTACACCAGATGGTGTGGCTCTTCTATGACCTTCTAAATGTAAGACTTTGCTAAATGAAACAAATATAGGACAAACAATCTGCTTGTAACCGGACCAGTTATGATGCAAAAATAAAAACATCATGATCAATCAGGCAAAGAAAAGGAGTAAGAAGAGCAAGGACAATCAGAAAGCTGAGGATTTAAAATAAACTACGCTGAGAAAATGAGCTGAAAGGCTAAATTACAGATAATTAATTAAATCAATGTTTGAGAAAAAAATAGCAAAGCAGCTTAATAAAAATTTCTGCTTCTTACTGCTTTCGTAAGTTTGAGTAAAAATATCTCACCAGAAGCTGTTGGCCATCATCTTCGCCCTTTCAAGATAAAGAAGAGGAAGAATTTTAGCACAATCACCAAATCCTGTCTTTAATGCAGCTGATTAGTTACTGAAGTTGGCCTCTTCTTGGTTTGCTTACATGAGTGAAGCACAGAAGCCGCTATCATCGTCCAGGTATGCGATATCATCATCAGAGTCCGACTCTGTTAAGCAATAAAAAGATAAACGTTGTAAAATTGTGGCAGAAGTAAATAAAAAAGTCAGAAACAATAAATATGGCTTTCTTACCTCCCCCATCCTCGCTGTGTTTGTACCAACCAAACTTCTTCATCATCTTCTTCTTTGCGATGGCGGCACCTTCAGAAACATAGAAAATAGTTTTTAATGGGGGGCTTGAAATGCTACGAGCTAAAACTGTGAGTTTTGGTGGGGAAAAACTTCAAACCGACGTTTGTTTCCTTCTTCGTCCACATCCTCGGCTTCTATGAGCCAGTCCATGTAGCCGATCATGTCCTCCTCCATCTGCTTGCTCTCCTGAGCTTTCTGCAGCTCCCCCCGTGCAACGGCCTTCTCTCTTTCTTTAGAGAACTCTCTGTAAAGGAAAACACTTAAAACTTTACAAAAACACACACTTTATCGATCACCACAGAGAAACGACCCAAAGAAAGATGGAAATAAGCGAGGTATCGGCAACCCACCCGCTCAGTACACCCAATACGAGGTTGATGATGAAAAATGATCCGAAGATGACCAAAGAAACAAAGTAAACCCATGGTATGTCGAAGCCAATGGCATCATTCATCTGTGTGAAAACACGGAGAGAAGGACAGTTATACAGTACATTCATATTGGACATACAATGCAGTAAAATTATATCACAACAACATAATCTTACCAGGAAAGTTTAGGAAAAATGTAAGCTTTAAGTTCACTTTGTCAGGTTTCGGTTTCTGTTATGTTTTTCTTTTGAGTATTCAGTCATACTTTACTCCTTGTTTTCTAGTGTTTAGTTTTCTTTTTTCCCCCCATGTTTTATAGTCCTAGTTATTTGATTATCATTTTGTTGTTATTTCCAGTCTTCCAGGTTACTATTTGTTGCTCTCTGCTGCCCTCTTGTGTTCTCCTTCTTCCCTAGCTCTTTCCCTCTCTTGTTCTGTGCACACCTGCTCCCAGTTTCCTCATTAGACCCCTCTTTGTCTCAGTCTCCTTTAAAAAACCCTCTCTCTTCAGTTTCCCTTTGCTGGGTCCTCGTCAAACACCGTCTAACATGCTCCAACGCCTTCTCTCTGTGCCTTCCTCCTTATGATTGTGATTCCCCTGATGTCTCCATGGTTTCTGGTACGTTTAGACTAGTTTTAATTATTTTGATTTTTGGATTTTTGGACTCCTGGTTTCATGTTGGTTTCGACTTTGTTTTCTTTTTGGATTTTTGGATAACCTGCCTCTGTTTTCTGTTAAGTCATTATTAAATCCACAAGAGATTCACCTCTGCCTCCCTGCCTCTGCTTTTGGGTCAACTAACCATAGCCAAGTCGTGACACATTTCTCAGAAAGAAAAATCCGATTATAGTTATTATTTATCAGAAAATCAAGGATTCAACAATTATTAGAGTTACTTTTTGACCATTTGAGATTTTCTCTCTGGAAAACTGTTGCTGCTACTGTCTTATCTTACTATTCTGGTCACGTCCAAAGCACTTAAGATGTTAAGCAGTGGCAACTGCTGCAATGTATTGCATTAACAAATGTTGAAACAGTAAAAAAAATAACTACAACGGGTTAAAATAGCTGCTGTGAGGAGCTTATCCTTAGCCTCAATGCAAGTGACAGATTTTTGGGTTGTTATCCAAGTGAGTCTAATGGTCACATTAATGGGTTTAACAATGCATATATGACCAGTTATCATCATTCCAGGTGAGGTTTAGCCTATCTTCTATTAAGTGAGAAATCACAACTGACGCTGCGGTATGAGAGGATTTTTTTAGGGCATTTGGAAGATAAACTGGCCCATAGTATCACTGATCTTCTACTGTGTTTAGCAATGTTTTGAGTTTTTTTCTACATATTTATCCTAATTTCACACTAAAACAATGTGGAGTTTTTGTTACTGAAAATATCAATCTTTGTATGATGTAACCCGACATGTAAAGCCACAATAGTTTTTAAGAAACACCGAACATCTGTGTTGGTTGACTTGCTTCCCAAACATTGGCCTCTACTGTATATAAAACCTAATAGTCATGGTGACTCTAAGATGCATCTCTTTAGTTCAGATCTTTAAGAGCTTTGTGAGGTTTTTCTTTCTTTTTCCTACCTCCCTTAGTATCCACCTAACAAAACATGATGGCATGACCTAGATGGTCGCTGGCCGCAGAGAGGGGTGATATTAAACGAGTATATAACTGCATCTATTGCTTGGTTAAAATTTTCTCTTGTTTATTTCATTTTGAAGTGTAGATTTGAGCAGAGGTTTCTCAAAATGTCTGCTTCTGACCCAAAAAGTCAGTTTACTCATTACCCAAACTATTGGTTAAATACCAAAACATTTCTACATAACCATTTAACCAGGGGGGTGGTAACATGTCAAACAGCTGGTGAAGTTAAAAAAGTTGAAGAACAAACCACTGGATGTTTTTTTTTTTTTTTAGTTTAAGAAATTGAAAGAAAAATTTGAAATTGGAATTTTGAACTATTTTAATTGAAAAAGCTTCCTGGATGGGAAGCGAAACATTTTCAAACTTGGAAAACAAAGTCCAGAGGATTGTTTGTTTTTAAACTTTTTTTTACTTTTTTTGAAACACTTCAAATTACTTTAAGAACCAAAAATTTGGTTTTGTTCATTTTTAAGTGATTCTTTTATATATTTCAGCACTATAACATGAATGATTATTTAGTTTCATTTTCGTAGTGGATCTCAAGATCCCATACTGGTTGATCAAGGACAATCAAGCGGGGTCACGACCCCAACTATTGAAGAAATGGCTTAGAGAAAGAGCACCTGCACCACTCTCTATCTATATGTCAATAAAAAATAAAAACTTAAAAATAAGCCATGGATTTCTAATTAGCAATGATTAGTTTAAAAAAAGTGATAATAAATTAGAGAAATTGTTTAATTGCTATCAATTTTAGCAGGTCTAAAAAGTGTGGAACCAGATTTTGGTAAAGGAAATTATTTCCGCACTTCTTCCACTCTACAGCCATTCAAAATGCCCCTTTCACTGAATTACAGGGTCTGAACAGGAGAATGTGCTTCTCTCTAGATCTTAATGTCCACAAATCATGACAAAAAGAATATTTTAGTACAAAGACTGATGTTTAAAAAAAGGAATTGTAGGGGACCAGCCAAGGACCTTTTAAGGAAAGTGGGTACATTTTGAATGGCTACTACTGTACTTGATAACTGTGTTTAAAAATGTTAGATCTTTCTACATGTTTCTGATCAAGACGATACTAGTGCAGTAAAATAAATTAATTTATTAGAAGGTCTATAAGTTTTAAACATCTTGATCTTAGGGATTATAGTATTTGTGGGGAATGTTAACTGGAACCACAGGTAAAAAATCTTAAAAAAGGACAAAATGCAGTAAAATCTGGAGGGATGTGTGTCTGTACCCAGTAGAGCACATCTGTCCAACCCTCCATAGTGATGCACTGGAAAACTGTTAGCATGGCAAAGAAAATGTTGTCAAAGTTCGTGATGCCGCCATTGGGACCCTCCCACTTCCCCTTGCATTCAGTGCCGTTAGTAACACAGAAACGACCGACGCCTGCAAAAGCGCACGGCGATGGATCGTCCTCCACCATAAGACCTGCAGCAGGAGAACAGCAGGAGAAGCACAGGGATTGAGGTAGGATGTCAGAGAAGTGTTGGATATGTGAGAAAATCCAGGGAACAGACAGACCTGTGCTGGTGTCAAAGCACGTCTTGTGCATCCTGCCGAGGAAAAGCTCTAAACCTACGATGGCGTAAATTATGATGACAAACATGACAAGCATGCCGATGTGGAGCAGAGGGACCATGGCTTTCATAATGGAGTTCAACACAATCTGTAAACCTGACAGAAAAGCAAACATTGAACTAAGTACATGCACAAACAAAGACCAACTATAAATATATATATATATTTGAAAATATATATACTTGGTACGCCAGACACAAGCCGAAGCGGTCGCAGCACTCTGAAAGCTCGGAGAGCTTTAACATCCAGACCTCCAGGTTTTCCTGCAGCATGGTGGGCCTCTCCTGGCTTATGATCCGTCATACCCTCTGCTATCACACTGAACAACCTGCACAGAGGAGCAAATCAATGTTGCTGCATAGGTTTCATAAGAATGACAAAAATAAAAAAGTGACTCTCAAGTCGTTTAACTACCCGACAATGACAATGATGAAATCCAGCAGGTTCCAACCGCTTCGTATGTAGGCGCTGGGGTGCATGACTAAACCATAGGCAAGAATCTTGGTAAAGGTCTCGATGGTGAAGATGACGAGGAAGACATATTCAACTTGTTCCTAAAATCAAGATAAAGGTTTGGTGAATTGTGTGAATATAACAACCTTGGTTTTAATTCACTCTACTGGTAAAGTTGCGAAAAAGCTGGTTTTCTCCAGCAGTCATTTGCAAGAGAAATGGGGACACCCTGTACAGGTTGCCAGTCCATCACAAAGCAAGACAACTACAGAAAGAACACCACTCATACAAACACTCCTACTAAAGGGTAACTTAAAGGAAGTTTAACCTAACTAATGTTTTTGAATTGTAGAATGCTGGATTATTAGGAGAGAATCCACAGATGCAAGGTGTGAGCACGCTGAACCCATACCAGAGGATCCTATTGCTGCAAGGCATCACATCAGGGTGACCAACTGTGCACTGAAAGATCATGCACTTCTGTTTTTCCCCATTTTGAAAGAAAGTTAACTGATTTTGTTTTTATTTTATTTCAGTGTAGTATGGGAAAAAAGTCAGAATTCTGACTTTAATCTCAAAATTCTGACTTTAATCTAAGAACTCTGAGATTAATCTCAGAATTCTGACTTTAATGTCAGAATTCTGACTTTTTTTTCTTAGAATTCTGACTTTTTTATTGTCAGAATTCAGTCAGAATTCTGAGATTAAAGTCAGAATTCTGAGATGTTAAACTGAAATAAAATTTAAAAATCAGTTAACTTTTTTTTTTTTCAGTGGCCCTAATCCTCTTCCGTAGTGTCTCTATAATATTGTGATTTTTTTTTTTTTTTTTACCATAGAGTAAGAATAAGTGATGATGTAAGCATGTTTATTCTGACCAACTTAACACATTTAAAACAGTACAATAATAACATCCATCTATCCATCTTCTGTCAAGCTTATCCCAAGCGTGGTCACGAGGGGTGCTGGTGCCTGACTTCAGCAGTCTAAGGGTGAGAGGTGGGGTACACCCTGGACAGATTACCAGCCATCGCAGGGCAACACAGAGACAAACAACCATTTATGCACACACTCCAGGACAATATGGAGAAGCCAATAAATCTAACAGTCATGTTTTTGGACCGTGGGAGGAAGCCAGAGTACCCAGAGAGAACCCATTCATGCTGAAGGAGAAAATGCAAACTCCATGCAGAAAGATCCTGGGCCGGGAATCTAACCCAGAACCTTCTTGCTGCAAGGAAGCAGTGCTATCCACTGCGCCGATGAGCAGCCATAACTTATAGGCAGAATTTTAGCATTATAACCACAATTTTAGTCTCTTTATTGAAAATTTCTCAGCAGGATTTTGTGCTCCTGCAACATCAAATTAGTGCAGGGGAGTGTTGCACTAGTGGGTTAGAGCAGTGCGCTTGTGCTCTGAGAAGGTCGCAAGTACCTGGTTTGATTCCCACAGCCTCCACTCTGGGTTCCTGAGCAAGACCCTTACTCCCACACTATTCCACAAGGGGATGGGTTAAATGCAGAGGTAAATTTCTCCAGTGTGAGATAGAAAAAAATTTACATAATTATATTTTTCGTTTTATTATTTTAAAGGAATAGTACACCCAAAACATGATTAGCCTTCATTTTCTACTCACCCCCATGCTGAACAACACTCTGGAGTACTTTTTTGATATCTCAAATGCATCTGGAGATCTGGGAGGCTTCTTGCTGTCTGCTGACATTCAAATAATGGAGGTCTATGGCGCCCGAGACAGAAAGGTCCATAAAAGTCCACAAAAAACGTGTCAATATTCCTCCATACTGCTCGTCCAATGTATTCCAAGTGTCCTGAGTGGGTAGCATCCACAATTTACTCGAAACGAAGTCATTTAGAATGTTTTTAGAGCATAAACAGTAGTGTATAGGACTTCCTGAAAGCGCGCACATGCGCGTTCACGACACTACGGAAGCCGGCAGACAAAACCAGCGCATTCAGCTCGGCAAAGAACTCATGCTCTTCCTCAACACTGAAGTCCTCAGACATTTTTCTTTCGTTGTTTCTTTCTTTGCACAGGTAAACAGCACATTTCTTCTTCTACGCTTGCATTTTTGGCAGAGCAGACGCTGAATGCGCACTTTCATCTGGTTTGGTCTGCCGGCTTCCGTAGCGTGGTGAACGCGCATGTGCGCGCTTTCAGGAAATCCTATACACTACTGTTTATGCTCTAAAAACATTCTAAATGACTTTGTTTCGAGTAAATTCTGGACGCTACCCACTCAGGACACTTGGAATACATTGGACGAGCAGTATGGAGGAATATTGACACGTTTTTTGTGGACTTTTATGGACCTTTCTGTCTCGGGCGCCATAGACCTCCATTATTTGAATGTCAGCAGACAGCAAGAAGCCTCCCAGATCTCCAGATGCATTTGAGATATCAAAAAAGTACTCCAGAGTGTTGTTCAGCATGGGGGTGAGTAGAAAATGAAGGCTAATCATGTTTTGGGTGTACTATTCCTTTAAGTTTTTACACTATTTAGCAGTGGTGGAATTTACAGCAGCTGATCGGTGAAAATGTGCAGTAAAATGGCTCAACATGCCACAGACTACAAATGTGATGTAAATACCTGAGTGATACTAACGCCGTAGCGCAATGTGCTAACACAGAAAACCAAAGCAACAGAAAAACAGAAGAAAATAAACAAAAGAAATGACCTGTAATCAATGCAAAGATGAAGTCAGATTTCAGTGTTTTTTTATTGTCAGCTCTTGCTGCATTTTTCTGAAGAATTTTTTTTTTGTCTGTGTTTTTATGTTTTGCAATTTGTATAATTGTGCACAAATGCATGCAGCACTTTTAATTAATTATAGCGTGTTTATCTGTTTGCTGTATGTTCGCACCTGTTGGCCAGCATAAGAACTTGTAAGAAATCCTTTTTAGTTTTAAGAAAGTGTTCTTGTCGTTTTCTCACAAATTGTCAAATAACTGCTAGATTACTAATCCGTCATTAAGACTGGAGCTTGGATGGTTTTCTAACCCGCTAACCTACCGACTAAAACACTCTGTCCTCACATCGCTTTGATTTGTACTTTCAGGTTAATGCTACTAATTAAACCTGCATCGTCTTCACCTTAAGCTGGCATAGGTATCCTGAAGTATAACTGAATATCATATAACTAGTTTAGTGCTTGAAATGCATTCACAAGAAGCTGTTTTAAAAAAAGGAACAGTAAGAGATAATAAATCCCCCTCAACAGATCTAATACAGTCAGCTTAACTCATCTGTGAAATCCAATAAAGAGATCTACCAACATCCATCCTGCTGTAGGTGTGTACGTGTGCATATGTGTGTATGTGTGTGTGTGGTGGTGGGGGGCGGCACATGCTTTAAAAATGCTCAGACTAGAATTTAACCTTTTTTATAATAATTTTCATTGTCATACATGGCATAAAAGAATTCCTTCAATAATATTTTAGCAGTATATTGGCCTCTGCACACGCTATAGATATTGGAATCAATCGTTCAGGCAAACTGATGGATTTTTTCCAACAAATATATATTCAGTTCCATTAACAAGGTCATTTAATGATAAAAAAAAAGGACAAAAGGAAGAATAAAGACAGAGTAGGGGAGTAGAGATGAAGCAGATGGTTGGTGTTAAAGTAAATCATGATCTCTGACAAGCTCGCCCGGAGGAGGTCACAGCACACTTCTCCCCCTCTAACAACTTTACCTCAAGCAGCACCTGAACAGGTCTACTCAACACCTTTTTTGCTTTTCATAAACCATTAAGAAATATTTGCATACATTTATATTAAAAATAATGTTGCTATAGAGTAGTTTATCAAATGTATAATATGAAGTCTATTCTCTGTATTTCTATCAGTTTTTTTTTTTCAAATTCTACTTTTACATCTTTTTTTTTGTCACTTTGCTCTCTTTGCAACTTTAACCACAGCTAAATGACAAGAAACTGACCAGGTTATCAATGCTAGAAAAAAACTTGGTCATTATACCTTACCTACTACACTTTAACATTAAAATAAATCCCCCTGTATATAAGCCATCTGGATTTTACATATATCACCTCAAACCTCTGTGCTACTACCTTATATCTTTTTATTTTTTATTTCTTATTTTTATTTTATTTTGTTTTTCATTGTGTGCAATACATGTACACTTGCAACTTAATCCTTATTTATCTTGATATACTGTATATACCTGGAAATACTGTATATATATATATTGTTTATTCTTCTTAATGCACCTTTTTCCTCCTTGTTTGCACCTTCTTCTGTAACTACTATGCCAATATGTGACGAGTGAATTTCTCCGCTGTGAGATCAATAAAGCTCATCTAATCTAATCTAATCTAATCTCAGAAACTGGCCTTATTTGTGTTATTTTCAGTGCTTCCTGTCTTTAGATTTCATTAAAACATTTATCCAACCTGAACCACTATGCATCTAAAGTAAATGGTGTCTTGGGAAGGTTATCATGCCCCGTCAACTTTTCTGGATTTTTATTTTTACATAAAAACCACAAACTTGAAGTACATAAAGGTAAAAAAAACAAAAAAAACTATTAATATTTCCAAACATTTTAAAAGTGTGGTGTGCATTTAGATTCAGCCTTCTATAACTCTGATGCCCTTAAATGAAATTCAGTGCAACCAAATTCCTTCAGAAGTCAGTTAATTTGTGAACTTATACAATATATAACTTCCCTTCAATATAAATCCAGCTGATCTCTGAAAGCATAATAGGTTAGTTTAACATTAGTCAATAACAGGCCCATAGAGACCAAGAAGGGCAGCAGACAGATCAGGAAGAACGATGTAGAGAGGAGTAAAACGGGGTTAGGTTATAACGAAATACCCTGTACTTTGGACAGCTGACAAAGAACCGCTTGTCTCTAATGCTAAGAGCGGGGAAAAAAATCTACCATGTCTTGATGGTCCACCTAAACTGACCGTTTTGGCACAGAGACCATTGATTAGAGAAGAAGCCAAATAAGCTCCAAAGATCCATCAACTATCTGTTCTTCACTCCACAGGTCTGGCCTTTATGAAAGAGCCATAAGTGCATAAGAACAAATATTAAACTTAAAGAAAAAG